AACTGGGAAGCCAGAGCCAGAAGGAGCAGGGGTGCGAAGACCCCAAGTGCCACCAGCTGACCCCAGACCTGTGACAAACAGATGGGCAAACCACGGGTTGTGGGAGGAAAAAACAAGTCCAAGACAGAGCAGCCACCCTGAGCAGGACACTGCCTTCAGCAGTGCTGGGGGCAACAGCCACGACCTTGGGGCACCCCCCAGCACCTTCTGCTCATGGCCTTGGTGCTCACCCCAGACCCCAGGTGCCACCTCTCATCCTAGGGAGCTGGCTGCTCCGAGCAGCTTTGACATCCCACAGACCTCACTGAGCAAACCCCCCCTCAGTGTCACCAAGTGAGCACGTGCTGCCACAGCCAGGTCTTCTCAGGAAGCACCTGAACTAGGGAGCTGGCTGCTCCGAGCAGCTTTGACATCCCACAGACCTCACTGAGCAAACCCCCCCTCAGTGTCACCAAGTGAGCACGTGCTGCCACAGCCAGGTCTTCTCAGGAAGCACCTGAACAGATGAGCCTGCCCAGCCATACACACAGAGAGAGCTGGGTCAGGCTCTATTGGCTGCAATGTGTCAGGTGCCAGCCGTGGTGCCCTGAGGGCTGCCAGGCCCTCCCTGCATCCCTGTGGCTCCCATGGGGACATGAGCATGTTTTAATGGCTGTTCCCTTCATCCCTGTTCACAGCTGCACTGACAGCATGATGAAAACACTGGGAGTGTGGTGCAGCAGAGCTCACCACATAGCATCCCAAAGTACACCAGCCAGCCTTGGGGACACCAGAAGTTTCTGACAACTCCAATACATTAACCCCATGAGAAGGGATGTCTGAACACAGTGGGGACATGGAAAACCTACACAGCCACAGCTGCTGCAGAAAACCAGAGCCCTGGGCCCAGCCAGTGGTGCTCGTGTCCCAGCTCAGTGGGTCTGGATGGGTCACATCCAACATCACTGCCAGGACAGTGGTGTCCCTAGCCTACCCAGTATATGCCCATATCACTGGGACATCACTGGTGTCTCCAAATGAAAGCAAGGTGTCTACATAAGCAATATTTAACTAGGCAAGATCTGCACCCTCTGATGGCCACAGTGTCTGACCGTGGAGACAACGAGCCTGGACCAACCCTCTCTGCTCCCCAGGTCAGCACAGACAGGCAGTGCTGGTTTGTCTGCAGCAGCTCAGAAACCCCCGGGCTCCCCACACCACCCTCTGCTGGCACCATCCCAGCCTGCCTGGCATCCCCTCTGCCATCCACCCCGGGGGGGAAGCTCTCTGTGGAGACAGTGGCAGCCCCTTGCCCAGCCCAATCAAAACAGCACCAGTGCAGGGTCACCTCCCCCTGCACAGGCTTTCTGATAGGGATGGCTTTCTCCAAACCTGGCCCTGCCTCTCACATGTTCCTGCCCTGTTTCCATCCATCAACTGCTGTCAGCCATCTCTCCACCCTGGTTCCCATGCTCTGACGCATTCTGCCACACCACCCCAGCCCAGCAGGCTTTTGGCCAGCCAGGCACTGACAACAGCCTCATCTACTCACCCAGGTTAAACACAAAGTAAGGATCTTGGGTGCTGGCTTCTTCCATCAGCAGCCAGGCTGCTCCACACCTGGGCCTTTGCCACACCACAGGGGGTTTGGCTGGGGCAGCTCACTTGGCACAAAAGCAGCATTTGCTGGAGGGCTGAGAAAGGGACACTGCTCCTACCCACAACTTTACCTCTTTTTACACCTGTCCCCTCCCCGGCAGCAGGTGAGGCAGCCCTGGCAGCCAGCTGGCTGCTCCAAGCCATAGCCATTGTGAGTTCAGGGCTTGGGATCCAAAAATCCCCCAAGCCGGGCAGGAGGGGAGCTGCACCACACCCCTGCAGTGCCACCCTCAGAAAAGCAAAGGCTTGCTGATGGCACAGCCCGAAGACCAGCAGTACCAAGCTAACACAACAGCTTATATCCACGTTTCTCCCCAGGGAGAGGCTGGGGACACAGGCAGCTTCAGCAGCACTGCCCTGCCCTCTGCTCCCAGAGGGGCCCGTCATCAGCAGATGCACAGGTTTGCACCCAGCTGAACTCACCCACTTGGCTCCTGGGCTGGGATGCTCCAGACTTTCTGCTTCAGCACTGTTACACAACTGCTGTTATGAAGAAAATTCAATTACAGAAGTTATTTGTAAGCACAAGTGCACCAGTGAGGATCAGAGAAACACGAGCTGCAAAGGTCCAGAGGTTACAGCTGGCCTGGGGCAAGCAGGCTACTTCCCAGGAGGGGCTTGCTGCTCTTTGTAGGGATTCAAGCAAAGGAATTTCCAGAAGATGAAAAGAAAAGCTAAGGAGGTTTCATAGAGTAAAATATCTTAATATTTATTGTGTCTCAGGACAAAAGAGTTCTACGTGATACACAGAATGAGTTAAGGCAGCATATAATACTGACAATCAAGTCACAGCTGACTCGGTGCAAGGACACCTACCAAGGTAAAGGCACCAGGAGCTACATCACCAAACCTTGCTACAGCTTACAAAGAATCACTACAGCCTGTACTTTAAAAAGTACAACTATTAAAAAGTATATAAAACCCAGGGCAGGGATGAGAGAGAGCTTGGCAACAGGCCGAGGCCTTGCTGAGCCAAGGGCTTCAGGCTGGCAGGGCCGTGTTTTAACAGGGCAACAGCCCCATCTCGAGAGCAACCACGTCCAGGGAGCAATGGGACGTCAAGGGGATGCCAGAGATGAGGAGGAGCATTGCTTTCCCGAGGGAGGCACCAAAGATGAGCACTGGAAGTCCCAGGAGGCTACCAGCACCGTCGGTTTCGGCACAGCACCGGGGCTGCTGCCCAGGGAGAGCCGGGGGCTGCAGCGCCCGGAGGAGCCGTGCTGGCTGTAACCACTGCAGCTACACTAACCATCCCACGTGGTGGCACAGCAGAGTAGTGTTAGGACAAGTCCCCGAGCGCACCAGGACAGCTGCTGCACTCATTTCTATGAGCTAGTTTGAGAAGAAGATCAGTCAGTTCAAAGCAAGATTTCCTGAAGCGGCATCCAGGGGAAAACTGGAGGTGGTGGCATCCTCCTTGGCCACGAGAGAACACCCTGAGATACACAGACCAGGGGTTAACAGATAAGACTGGACTTACATACAGGTAAAATGATGCAGCAGGCACTGTGTTGCAGGTACCCTCTCTCCCCACACGCCCCCACAGGTGGTACCCACCATGGTGCTGAAGGTCCCCATGGGTGACCAGGCAGCAGCCAGGGATGCAGAGGTGAACCAGCAAGCTTACAGCTCTGGACAGACATACCTGGCCACAGTGTGCTGGGGACAGCTACACCATCTCGTACTGGTTGTTTGTGATGTACTGGGACAGGCAGCAGGCAAGAACAATGCCAATCAACTGAAAAAGAGGAGAAAAACCCCACACATCAGAGGTAGCCAAAACCAGGATGTGGTATTATAGAGATAAAGCCTGACAAGTTGCTCCAGAGCATCAGTTTTATAAAATCTCAAGATGAACAGCGGAACCACAACACAGGCTGCTGCACCCTGCTTCTGAGTAACTGGGAGAGGCTGAACTGGCAGATCCTGGCAGGCATCAGTCAAACAAGCTCCTCACAAGAGATGCTCCACATCCCATCCTGTTACATCTTGCTTCATGAAGCACTTACTGTTTTATGGCATTTTTGGAGATTACACGGGTAGCAGGAGCGTCACAGCCAATTACCCAGCAACCAGAGACCAGCAGCCACCCCTCCCCGTCGCAAGGACAGCAGGGAAGCAAGGTTGCTGGTTTGGCAGCAGCATCTGAAGGACACACCACTGTTATCACAACGTGGCCTCTCAGCCCCCGCCCAGACATTTCGGGCCAGATCCTGCAGGAGCCTGGCCTAGATCAGCCAAGTCAGAGACACATTTGCATGATGGGTCCCCGCCGGCCACACAACATAGCAAGGCCTGCTGAAAGGGTGATAAAAGCCAGGAACCAGTTACAATTCCCAAGCCTGGCATCAGCCAAGATTATCTTGTGGCTGGGAGCGTTGCAGCTCAGCACTGGTGTGTCGGTCACGTCTCGGTGACCCCACAGCCCAGCAGAAGAGGACAGAGGGGTGAGCAGCTGGGCCCACGCTGGCTCTCAGGCTCTCTTGGCTGCAAGTGAGCACTTGGTAGCACAAGCTGCAGGCAGGGGCTGTTGGCTCCTGCCTCTCCTCCAGTTCAGTGCATCCGCTACGGGAAACACACGGCAACGTGCTCATTAGCGGAGAAGTGCTTGGCGAGGTTCCACCTCGCAGCTCGTGCCACGGCCTCCTCCACGTGGTGGGCCAAGGGAGGGGGAATTCTGGTCCCTCCAAAGTCAACGTTGGAAAACCCTCAGCACCTCAGGAAGCCACCCCGTGGCGTCACCGTGCCCAGTGCCCAGAGTGGTGGAGCTGGGGCAGGGGCCTCTCGCTTCCTGCCGGGATAGCACGTCACTGCTGCGGCTCCGGCAGGAAGCGTCCTACAGGATAAAGCACAGGAGAGGTGGGGGAGCACGAGGGAGAGGGAGCAATGGCAGGGTGCTCACAGTGACCCAGCCACGCAGAAGTGATGCCAAAATGCCTCCCTGATAAAGAGGAAGGTCAGTGTGTAGGAAAAGGAAGGGCGCAATTTGATCCCTGCCAGCAGCAAAAACAGGGAGTTCACCCGGCACAGCACAGGCTCTGTTTGGGTTTTCTTAAAGTCAGTTGTTTCAGACAGGAGCTCTTCTCAAATAACCTGCACTCACAGAAACAGACCTGGTGCTTCAACTCTAGGTTTAAGACCCTGGAGACTGCACAGGGGGGAGATTAAACCCAAGGGGAATCTGCAAAATAGATGCTCTTCTCTTGCTGAAACAGGCCAGGTCTTTTGTACACACACACCAGACATTGCACGGAAATTAAACACCTCCAGAGCCACACTAGCTTTGCTCAGCACTCCTCCTGTTCTGGCCAGCAAGGGAGAGTTACCTGGAAGCAGGCAATGCCAAAGGAGATTCCAGCCACAACACTCATTTTTGACTCCATCGTTGATGTTACCAGGAAGAAACAACCCTGCAGAGGAGGGAAAGTGAGCACACGTAGGTCTGGTGCTTTTTACCCCCCTGGAGCACACACGGGCACCTCCCCACCCTCCTGCCAGACCTCAGCAAAGCATCTCCCTATCAGTGCTGTGCTGACCAGCTGCCAGCCCAGCCTTGTTGTTGAGGGGAGTGCTGCCCTCCTGCTGCTCCCAGCCAGAGCCTTGGCTTGGGCAAGGTGACTCATCACAGGAACGTCCCTTGCATGGCCCTGGGTGAGGTGAGGTCACCCACGCTCATCACCTGGTCAGGACTTTGAACGGCCTGGGGAGACGTCAGCACTGACAAAACTACCTTTACCAGGAAACTGCCTCCTTATTCACCTGTTCTCCTAAATACACAGACTTGGGCACAAACATTTGGGTCTGGTTAGTCCTTGACCTTGAAGGAAGGAGTGGGGGGACCTCAGACATGAGCAGGTTCCTCCATTCCTTTCCCTTACCTCCATCCCAGGGCAGTCCCTGGGACACAGGGCATCTGCACTGAGAGAAGTTCTCCTTTTGAGCCCTCCCAGGAAAAGGAAACCCTTTTCCACCTGCACAGCTCTGCCCTCCCCATCTCCAGGACTGGCAGGGTTTTATTTCTGAGTTTAACTTACATCTACAAACACTTTCAGCTTGGCTTTGTCCGGGTCTTTCAGATCTTCCTCTGAGCAGTCATCCTGGCTTTTGCAGCAGCTCTGGGGAATGCCCCTCTGGGTGAAGTACTCAGTCCTCTCCCAGTCCGAGTAGTTCTGCACCCCACAGCAGTGCAGCTGGAAGGGGAAACACGTCTGGTGAGCATGGTCAAGCCATGGTACTGACCCCCCAGTCCTACCACCACTTCCGCAGACCCCCTGCACCCATCTCTCCAGGAACTGTCCCCCATCTCACCCAACACCTTCTCCCCAAAGGTGCAAAATGACCCTCAGCATCGCAACAGGGATGCCAACACCACAGGGGGCCCCAGGGGATGCCCCAGGACGAGGCAGCAGACCCCCCCACCAGGTGGACACTCACGGTTCTCTGGATGGTGTCAACGGCCTCGCTGTGCCGATCCGCGGTCACGTTGTAGTCCCTCAAGGCCAGGTTGAGGTTGCTCTCAAAGTTTGTCTTAATCTGCCAAGAAAGAGAGAGATCTGCGGCCACGCTGTCCCCTCCTGGTCCCCCTGGGGACCCACAGCCCCACGTTAGTCACCTCTCAGCGACGGCAGGAATGACTCCAGCTGTGGCCACAGACACTGCCCCAGCCACCCGGGCAATTAAGCCCTGCATCAAAGGGCAGGCTGGGATGTGCCGTGGCAGGGATGCTGCCTGTAATAACAAGCATCTACACAGTGCCAACTCCCCCCAGAGCAGGCTGCTCAGGGAACCCTCAGAGGAGCTTTAATTACAGGAATTATTACAGAAGACAGACCAAAGGCAGAAATTAAAGTCCAGGGCTACTTCACCTGTCCTGGCAGAGGGGCAGCCTTGTCCTTATGGGGATATTAGGGGTCCTGATGGGGACCAAGATGCTCTTTGGGCTGTTTTAACCCCACTTTAGCTAAACTAAGCACTGCTCCCAGCAGCACCTCTGCCCTTCCAGCAGCATCTGAATCTCAGCTTGGTTTAAAACCAGCTCCAAACTTGCTCTGCAGCACCAGGAGGGAGCAGCAGCCACCCAGACTCACCTCGTGCCTGAAGACGAACCCCACGACGGCAGCCACCAGGACGATGAGGAAGATGAGGGACAGGAGCATGGCGTACTGCGGGCAGAGAGGGTGGGGTGGGACAGGGCAGCTGCGACAGGGATGGGATGGGACGGGCTTGGGATAGGATGAGGATGGGATGGGGTTGGGATGTGACATGTCGGGATGGGTCAGGACATGTCAGGATGGGTCAGGACAGGCTGGGACGGGACCCCGTGCCACCCCATCCAAGGCCACCCACCAGCTTGAGCATCCAGGTGCTGCCACGGCAGGTGGCG